GTCCCCAAAGGGATGTTTCTGGGCAGATCCCACCAGCCAGAGATGCCTGGAGTCTTCTCTCCACAGTCTCACTGTGCCCAGTTGCAAGAAAGCTGTCACTCAGCCGCCAGTTATAAAATTTCTTATCAGTGTTCTTCTAAGCAAAAATATCAATGAATTCAAGTATTTTTTGGTAGGTTACAACTTAAGCAAATGAGTCAAGTACTGCTATTATGCAGGCACATTCTGGCGCTTGGTAAATTCTTTCCTTGGTTGTGATCTTTGATATTATCACTAGGGGGCACCTTGAGCCAAACTATCTCCAGCTTTCCACTCCATAATGACACCCTTGGGAAATAGGAAATCATTAACACAGAGATGAAGGGAAGCATGATTCACAAAGTGGTCAGCCTGACAGGGTGTGTGGAAGACAGAAAGGATAGGTCCTTCCCTGATGCTGTGGTAACCATGTTAAGAGCTAACTGCTTTTGAAGCTCTATTAGATTTCTTTTTTTTTTTTTTTTTTTTTGAGACAGAGCCTCAAGCTGTCGCCCTAGGTAGAGTGCTGTGGCATCACAGCTCACAGCAACCTCCAACTCCTGGGCTCAAGCGAGTCTCCTGCCTCCACCTGCCAAGTAGCTGGGACCACAGGTGCCTGCCACAACACCTGGCCAGTTTTTGGTTGCAGCCATCATTGTTGTTTGGCGGGCCCAGGCTGGATTCGAACCCGCCAGCTCAGGTGTATGTGGCTGGAGCCTTAGCCACGTGAGCCACAGATGCCGAGCCCTCCCACAAGATCTTGCTCCACCTGTGCTTTCTTTTTTTGCTCCCCATTTGCATCTAATCTGTCAGGTCCCAGAGCCCAGGTGGTGTACACACTTCCACTAAATGCTGGTGACCCTTAATGATCAATGGGTTCCCTTCTCTTTCCTGGGGAAAACCCCAGGGAGGAAAAAAATAAAATTGAAAAAGTGAAGTGGCATAAATCCTCTGTTTCGAAATAAGGAGAAAGCTCAGGATAGTAATAATTGTCTTAATCATTGTTTTAATAGTAATAATAACTTCTACTAAGTAGCTGTCCTTTGTACCAAAAGTTACTCTGAAGTTTCCATTGTGGATTATTAAAACTTGAAACAGGCTCCCTACTGGGTATTTGAAGAGGATCCTCTTAAGTAAGTGTCCCTGCTTTGTTCTGCCCCTGTTTGGGCCCTGCCTGGCCACACATAGCTCTTGCAACCCCAGTTCCACCTTCCAAGTGTAGGAATCCTACAGGGTCTCTGACTTGAGAACATGTTGCATATTTCTTCCTCTTCTTTCAGGTAAACCCCCTTTTATTGGCAGGCGAATGAATGGTGAAGAAGCTTGGGCTGTGCTCTCCCATAAAATGCTGAAAATCTCATCCAAGCAAGAATTTGACAGCCAGAGAGCCTGTGCTCAAATCTCAGTTTTGCCACTCCTGGCCATGTGACCTAATCCCTCTGTACCACTGTCTTCCCCATCAGATAAAATATGAAAGTAAGATCAAAATTTGGACATCCATATATTGGTAGATTAAAACTTTAGTTGAACTAGAAAGAGCATAAATGTTCCTTCTTTAGAGTGGAACAAGTTATTAATTATGCAAAATTCTATGATAGTCAATTACATATGTTTTTACAGAATTGCTATGAGCTAAGTGCAGCAACATGATACAAGAAGTATTTGGATAACCTTTCTCCTGGAGTCTTGCTAATTGCATAAATAAAGACTGAGGAATCTCATGTATCCAAAGTAACTGTCACAGTTTCTGGAGCATCATTGATAAAAAAGGAGAGGCTGAAAGAAACAAAAGGAAAGAAGAGAGGGAGGGAAGAAGGAAGGAAAGAAGGAAGGGAGGGAAGCAGAGGAAGGAGAAAAAAACTTATTTAGTGATCTTGTCATTTGCTAATTATTCAGTTTTCACTGTGTTTTCTTAAGCTTAGTGTGTGTGTGAGTGTGAGTGTGTGTGTGTATGTAAATATATTACATAACTTCACTTCTGTGATTTCAGTATACTCCTTGGAAACATTTTTCATTGAGATTTTTCTCATTAAATTGTTTTCTCAACCTGTGGGTTGTGACCCACAGAAACTGTATTAAAGGGCTGTGGCATTAGGAAAGTTGAGAACCACTGGTATAGCAGGTATCCTGCAAATTGGTTTCAAAATTCACTCTTTTCTTTTCTTACAAAAAAAAACTTATCCATAAAATTTGGTTCTGTTGCTAACTTAGGCATCTGATTTAATATAAATGGGCTTACTAAAATGCTTTTGCAGACTCAACCTTAAATATCACCACTTCAGTAAGATAAAATCTGAATATCATTAGGTGAGGTTGTTGTGTATAATGTAAGTTATGAGTTTGTAATCCACTGAGCCAAGTAATAGAGATGCAATTAGTAGCATAGTCAAAAGATTTGATGAAAATCAGAGCTATTTCTGTTTCCAGATCACTGAGTATTCTAAATGCTTTTCCTAAGGATAAAATGTGCTCCTCCACAATGGGATAAGGGCCACTTAAAATGAGAAGTCGACCTCACTTGGACGCATTTTATTGGAAAACACTCACCGAGTCAATTCCTGCTGCAGCTGGTAGGGCACTAAGCAGACCGTGATATGTCATCACCAGATTCCACTCCAGGATGCCTCTCTAAGTCTTCCTGTAATGTTGTACCCAAGTGTGACTCTCCCACCATTCCAGTCTTCTTTACACGCCAGTGGGCAGAGGGTGGCTTTTCACAAGTCTCAGAGGAACAGGGTGCATTGATAATCCAGAACATGTTCTATACCATCTACTTTGATTCAGTCCAAGTCATAGTACTCATGGGTTCATAAGGAGGAATAGGAGGGCAAAGAAAGGGATTGCCAGAAGGAGTTGAAGTTCTGGGAGCCACAGCTGGAGCGACAGCCCATGTGGCAGTTGTCCAAAGGTCCTTTTCAGAAGAATTCCCCTCTGTTGGCAGAATGGGGTTCCTGAGTTTAAATTCTCACTTCCTGACCTTTTTGAAGGCTTCTGTCCTCTGCACTACAATCTTACATTTACTATGGCTTGGCTTGTTTTGATAAAGAAGCATAAATGACTGTACATAAGAGATTTTACCCCATTTCCCATTATGATGACAGAATAAATCTAATTGGAGAATAGTATTATAGTTTAATGATCCACTAAGGGGCTGTATTTCCCCAGACCTAAGAGAGTACTGGGGCAAAAGAATATTATAGAAAAATAATCATTTTCTTCTTTTTCATAAGCTCATAACTATATTCATATCAGTTTTGAAAAATTCAATCCAAAAAGATGTAAGAATTCTGATTTCCCATGGCCATACACACACATCAGTTCACATGACCATTCAATATCCACCAAAAGGACTACAGTTCCAACAAATAAGTCAAACAGAAACATAGCAGTTTCTGGGGAATGTCAAACAGAAACATAGTAGTTCCCACTCTCTTGAATGGATGGGACTTTTCTAACTCAAAATCAAATGGGAATCTCCTCAGAATTCTCCAAATTGAGAATGGTGTTCTCTACTGCATGGCACCTTCAAATAGCCTTCACTCATCCAGATGTAGATGCCAAGATCCAGGAATCCATTCTTCTGAGACAATCAAGGATGTGCTTGAAACTGGTGATAGCTGAGCCAAGAGGAGAAACCCAAACCAATCTCCAGAAGAAAGTTAGCTGGGTAGCTGCTAGAGAGGCTTTTAAGATTCTCCTTACCCTGCAGCCACCAGGCCACAAGTAACAAGTTCCTGTATAAGCCACCAAGATTTGTTACCAAACCCATAAGGGAATTCTGGTATAGATCCGGTTACTTACCACACAGGAAGCCAATTATTGAGACAATAAAGAGTGCCAAGAGAGAAAGGTAACATTAAAAATGACGTGACCTGGGAGAAAGGACAATGACCTCAAATCTGTCTCCCTACCAAGGGAGGGTAGAGGTTTCTATATGAAGTTCAAGAAGGTAGTTGCATGAATTGGGACAGGTTATGTTGAAAGTAATGTGTGCAGGCAGTCTAATTCAGAAGTCACAGGTTAGTGATGGATGGTGAGTCTTGCTATGCCAGAGGTCTTACTTAGAAGTCATAGGTTGATGATGGAAGCTGAGTCTCAGTAGTATTCTACAAAGTGCCTTTTCTTGGAGACAACTCAAAAGGCAAAAGGGTTAGTTAAACAGAAAGATTATATTGTTTTTGTCATTGAGCCCCACTGGCCTGGCAATAAAAAGCCTAAGAAAGCTATAGAGAAAGTGTATATGGGGGTGTCTCATTTTGTGTTTGGTCATGGAGTCCATTACAAAATGGTGACAGAGTGGAAGCAAGAGAGAAAGGAGGAGGAGCTAAGCACTTACTGACAATCAATTTTGGGTGAGCTGAGAGTGAGAACTCACTCTTCCTATAAGAATGGCATCAAGCCACTCATGAGGGGCTTATTCTCATGATCCCCACCCCCCACAAGGCCCCACCTCCAACTCTGGAGATCGAAGGTCTTTTTTTCTTTTGTTTTTTGAGACAGTCTCAAGCTGTCACCCTGGGTAGAGTGCTGTGAAGTCACAGCTCACAGCAACATCCAACTCTTGGGCTTAAGTTATTCTCCTGCCTCAGCTTCCCAAGCAGCTGGGACTATAGGCACCTGCCACTACATCTGGCTATTTTTTTTTTTTTTTTTGTAGTTATCATTGTTGTTTGGCAGGCTGGATTTGAACCTGCCAGCTATGGTGTATGTGGCTGGCGCCCTAGCAGCGTGAGCTACAGGCGCTGAGCCTGGGGATCAAATTTCAACCAGAGTCTTGGTGGGCCAAACAAACCATATTCAAACCACAGCTACCAAATTTCTACAAAACATCAGACAAATCTGATGGGATTTCAGGAGAAAGACCACAGAGGTAAAGTGCCATTTTCTTTACAGAATGATGATACATACTATCAACATGAATTATCACTACTGATGTTAATCTTGATCACCTGGCTGAAGTAGCTTTTTTTCCTTTTTTTTTTAAAAATATGGAATGCTTCATGAATTTGCGTGTCATCCTTGCCCGGGGGCCGTGCTAATCTCCTCTGTATTGTTCCAATTTTAGTATGTATGTTGCCGAAGCAAGCATCTGAGGTAATGTTTTTCAGGTCTCTTCACTACTTAAGTGTCTTTCTACTCCCTTTCCATACTGAACTCTTTGAAAGTAAGGGACTATGAAAGTAAGCAGCTCATACGTAGGGGGTGTGGCATTATGTCACACCTGATAACATATTACATAAATTTTCTGTAATTCTGCACAGCATATTTTCTATTATCCTTTGTCCATTTTTTGATTCAATAACTTATATAAGTATGAACTCATGAATATTTATTTGATGCTTTGCATAATAATCCAATACGACACTATTTTCTTGGTGAAATTGCTCCAGTTTTTGCCATTGGGAGCTCTTTCAGTTGGCTCCTGGGTCTCTATGACATACCCCAACACTTCTTTTTTTACAATTTCTTATTTTCTGTCATTAAGTGCCAGGTTCATCTTGTTGGCCCATCTTTGTCTTTAACCCTTTGACTTTCAAAGTATCTATGTTGTTATATGTGAAGTGAATTTTCTTTTTGGATCATATTTCCTTTAGGTTTATCTTATTTGGGGTTGACTCAGATTCCTAAATCTCCCTTTTCATAGACTGTTCTTTGATTTTTGACTGTATCCTTAGTTCCATAGGAGTTTTTAGTTTTGATGAAATTCAATGCACCTGTTAGTTATTACTTTTGTTGTCCATGGCAAACAGCCATAGCCAAACCCAATGTCATGACGATTTTCCCATGTTTTCATATAAGAGTTTTAAACTTTTATCTCCTACAATTAGGACTTTAATACATTTTGAGTTAATTTTTGTGTAAGGCATACAACCACATTTTTTACAGGTAGATTTCCAGTTTATTTCCACCATCAGTTATTGAAGATTGTCCTTTCTCCCATTGAACCATCTTCTCACCTTTGTTGAAAATTATTTGGCCACGTATGTGAAGGTTTGTTTCTGTGCCCTCTGTTCTATTTCATTGGTCTATCTGCTTTTATGTCAGTACCACATAGTTTTGATTACTGTAGTTTATAGTAAGCTTTAAATCGGGGTAAGTTGGACAAATAAGATCTTCAAGTTTGTTCTTTTTCAAGATTGGCCCCTTCAGATTTTATATGAGTTTTTTTATTTTTTGTAACAGCGTCTTATTCTGTTACCCAAGCTGAAGGACAGTGGTGTGATCATGGCTTGCTGCAGCCTCCAACTCCTAGGCTCAGGCAATTCTTCCTCCTAATTCAGCCTTGCAAGTAGTTAGGACTACAGGCACATGTCACCTTGCCTGGCTAAAAAAAAAATTTTTTTTTGTTAGGTTACCTCAGCTGGTCTCAAAATCCAGGCCTCAAGTTATTCTCCTGTCTCGGACTTCCCAAGCGCTGGGATTATAGGCATGAGCCACCATACCCGACCTCATATGAATTTCAGAAAGATTTGTTTTTTCTAATTCTGCAACAAAATCAACAATGCCATGGAGGTTGCAGTAATCCGTAGATTACTTTTGATAGTGCTGAAATAGTAATACTATTGATTCCGCTGCATGTTGCGGAAGTCGGCACCGGCCGAGGGCTTCCGGCCTGTGGGAAACAGGAGCCCTCCCCGCCGGGCTGCGAGTGCTACGTCACTCGTCACGTGACTGGCATCTGGTTGACGCAGGGAGGACGCGCCGGGAGCCATTGCTCGGAGGTTCCTGCTGTTGTCGCACTCTCGGCGTGTGGAAGACCTAAGTTGAGTTAAGCCCACTGCTACGTGACGGCGGAGGGCCAGGAAAAGGCGCACTCAAGCCGGAGCGCCTGTCACTGACTGAATGCAACTTCTTTTGTCGGTCCAGAGGCCCCTGCGGCCCCGCCCCCGCCCCGATGCTTTGCGGAGAGCTCCGTTGTTAGGCAACAGCGCTTAAGCTCGCTCTGAAGGCTGGTGGGCGGATTGGTGGGATTGGGGAGCTCAGGGGGTGTCAGGCCACGAGCAGAACCTGGATGGACCAGTACTGCATCCTGGGCCGCATCGGGGAGGGCGCCCACGGCATCGTTTTCAAGGCCAAGCACGTGGAGGTGAGGTCCTGCCGCGGCCGGCAGGCTGGTGAGGCTGTGCTCCCTCCTCCCGCTACTTAACGCTCAGACAGCTTCGGTTTCCTACCTTTTTAAAGTTCAGTACAATTTTTAGGATTTACCCGTTTTCTGTACATCTTTTGGGCGGTTACACCTTTCTCTCTGCACAGCTGTCCGGCCATCACTGCCGCTTCCTCTCATGACCCCTTTGTACCCTGTGGCGAGTCAGACCTGTGAGGCAGAGGAGTGTTTCTGGCCTCCCCGAGGGGTGTGTTTCTCCAGCTCCTCCCGCTTTCTCTCTTCTTTTTCCCACTGTTTGTCCCTCATGGCCCATGTTTACCCTGTGGCAGCTCAGACCCCTAAGGCAGAGGAGTGCTTCTGGTCCCCCCGGGAGTGTGTGTTTCTCCAGTTCCTCCACCTTCTTTCTCTCCTCTTTTTCTCACTATTTTCTAGTGGCAATCTCTGCGTTTTTTTCTGTAGACTGGCGAGATAGTCGCGCTCAAGAAGGTAGCCCTGCGGCGACTGGAGGATGGCATCCCCAACCAGGCCCTGCGGGAGATCAAGGCTCTGCAGGAGATTGAGGACAGTCCATACGTGAGTAGGGAGCGGAAGGGTTCTGAGGCATAGCCCTCCTTTCCTCATTTTCACTCCCTCCTCCTTTCTTTTACCCACTTGCCCTTTACTAGCTTTCAGAGATATTCTCACCTCTGTCAGTGAGCCACTTTGCTCAGCCATCTGCCTCCTATCCACTATTTTTGTCCTTTTTTGCCTACTTGTTCACCATTAACCTAATTATTTCATTACTTGTTCACTTTCTCATTTGCCCACCTAGTTCATTATGTACTCAATCATTCAATCACTATTTTCCTCAAAATATTTAGTGATTTCTGATAATGATAGCACCTGCTGAAGTTCTCATATGTTCTGTAGACCAGAAGCATGTATGGTAAATGCTTTATGTACGTTGTCATACTGACTCTTCTTGACTACTCTGCAAGGCAGATTTTAGGATCTTCTTTTCTTAAGCAAGGGGAGAAAGTTAAGTAAAAAGCTCATGGGCCCTTAGCTGGTTGGTGGAGGCCTTGGCATAGGTCTGATTGAGGAGTTCAAAATTCTTCCCTTGGAGCCTTTGTAGACCCTGCCCTGTGCAGGGCACTGGTAACACTGAGAGGAACACAGCTCTGAGAACTTAAGTGTGGTAATGGAGACAGATAAAGACATCAGGACCAACTTGGTATGGTTTGTGCTATGACAGGGTACCAGGAGGGTAGCAACATCAGTATTCTTGTGCTCCTCCTCTCTTAGATTAGGGAATGCACTCAATTTCCCGGAAAGTGACAAGGTTTGGTTTCCATGATCCTCTGACTTACATTTATTGTCCTCTGGAGGTGTTCATGATATATTTGGTGACAAAAGCATGGTATAAAACTCTGTGACACCTGAGTTTTATTTGAAAATGTTTATATTTGTGTGTACCATATCAGTTGTAAAGCCTTACAGAATACACTCTAAGATTTACTACAGGTGGTAAGATCTTTCTTTTGTTTCTTTTTTTCTTTATAATTTTGTGCCTTCTCTGAACATATGCTTGTGTTTTGATTTGTAAAATGATTGTGTATTAACAAAAGGCTTCTAAATAGCATATGTGGAATAAGTGGAGGAAGATCCACAAAGAGGCTGGTGACATGGTCCCCACATCTGGTAGATCAGTAATCCTGAAGGTTCTCTTTAAAATATACTCCAGATTTGCCCCCAGCCCAGATTATTGTCACCACTCAGCAGAGCAACAGTGGCAGCCTCCATACTACTCTCCCCAGTCATAGTCCAGAGGGTTCTGTGAGAAATATATGTAAAGTCATCCATTCCTCTGCATAAGCAGCCATGTTGACTTCTCCTCACACTTACAGCACCATCATCATGTGCCCACTAGCTGGTATCTCCCATTTCTCTCATTCAACACATATTCTTAGGCATCCCTTTAGTGACCAGCAGTGACCTAGGCTGTGGGAGCACAAACAAATATAGACACATCCTTCCCCTAAACTACCTCACATTCTTAAGTCCTTCCAGCCTTGTTTGGTGCCAGCCTCAGGGCCATGGACTCTCTGTCACCCCAGCCCGTAGCTTCTTCCCAGATTTCCACCTAAATGGCTTCTTGTCTAGCCCTTCCTTGACACCACTCCATCTAAATAAATTATCCCTTTCTTCACTCAGAGTCACACTACAGTACTCTTGTATTTCTGTATTGTGCTTATCACAACCTGAACATATTCCATTTATTCATTTATTTGCTAACCATTTTTGTCCCCTTTGCTGTAAGTCTCTTAGAGTCCTTGTTTTACAGCTCACTGCTCTGTGAAGCCTGGCCCCTCTGATAGTGGCGACCTCAGTGTGGGTGATATGTCTCCAGCCAGTATAGCACTGGGAAAGGAGTGATTTCCTTGGTGCTGGGACTTAATAGCTTTAGAAGAAATAGGAGATCTGTATTCATATGTTCCATCCACATGATTTTCAGGTGTGTGGTCTGGGTTGGGGGAACAGATACTGCCACTAAGTGACCTTCTTTAGGCCTTTTCCATCAGTGGTCATGGAGAGTTAGAGTAGGGATTTGCCTGCTTGGTCCTTGTCAGGGCACTGACTAGGAGTCTTGGGGTCATAGGGTCTGGTGATGTGAGTCTGAGGGCTAATGAGATGTCTTTCCCTCAGGTGGTGCAGTTGAAGGCTGTGTTTCCACATGGTGCAGGCTTTGTGCTGGCCTTTGAGTTCATGCTGTCAGATTTGGCTGAGGTAGTGCGCCATGCCCAGAGGCCACTGGCCCAGGCACAAGTCAAGAGCTACCTGCAGATGCTGCTCAAGGGTGTTGCCTTTTGCCATGCAAACAACATTGTACATCGGGTTAGTCTTAGCCTCGGCTACCTTGGGGGGCTCACTTGGCTTGAGGGTAACTTGTCCTTGAAGAAGGTGTAGTCAGAGTGGGGACAAAGGTGGTCAGGGCTTCCAGGTAAGGAACTAGGGCATGGCTCTGGAGGCTGTAGGGCCTGGGACTTCCCTGGGTGGTCAGCCTGACAACCTACCCCTGTCCCAATGTCCTGTATAAGATTTGAGGGAATGATGCCTCCTTTGATACCCCCAGGACCTGAAACCTGCCAACCTGCTCATTAGCGCCTCAGGCCAGCTCAAGATAGCAGACTTTGGCCTGGCTCGAGTCTTTTCCCCAGATGGCAGCCGCCTCTACACACATCAGGTGGCCACCAGGTAGGGGAGACTGGATCTTTTCTACTTTTTTTGCTGGGAAAGAGAGGCTTGAGGACCTTCTGTCCAAATATGGCTGTGGAGTTGGTATGGAGCTGGGGTAACCTCTGAGGAATAAATTTTTGGGGCATCTTCCTTTTAGCCTAGTGGCCTGGCTATGACCACCAGCCCTCTTCCTCACAGGTGGTACCGAGCCCCTGAACTCCTGTATGGTGCCCGCCAGTATGACCAGGGTGTCGATTTGTGGTGAGACCCCTGTGGTGGGGATGGGGTAATGTGGGTCTTAGATTTCTCCTAAGCCCTAAGGTCTCTGAGCTGTTAGATGTCTTTTTCCCCTGATAAGAGCTGTAGGTTGAAGATATCTTCCATGGTTCGGGTGTTCTGAGAAGTCTGGGGTTGGTGTTCTTCACCATGATGTTTTTGAGGTGGGGGGGGTCAAGTGGGACAAAAGTGGTGGTCCTGGGTGGGAAGCTTCTGAGCTGGGTGAGGAGTTGGTGAGCCCACATAAATAAGATTTAGGGCTGGTTTGCAGTTCTGCCCCAGAAAGTGCAAATGAGCTATGTGTCCTAGAGTAGGAGGCTCTGACAAGTCTCAGAATTGTTGGGGCTTTGACTTTTGAGGACTGGCTTTTAGGCCCCTGCCCTGGGATAAGGTGTTGGGGCTGCAGTGGGTAGGTCTGTTTGCCATGGTGGGAGTTGCTTGGGGCTCTTTGTCCACAGGGCCGTGGGCTGCATCATGGGGGAGCTGTTGAATGGGTCCCCCCTTTTCCCGGGTGAGAACGACATTGAACAGCTTTGCTGTGTTCTTCGCATCTTGGGGACCCCCAGCCCTAAAGTCTGGCCGGTTTGTTGAGGGGCCCTTGGTGGGGAGGGTGTGGGGTCAGGGTCACTCCATTTCCCAATAGCAAGTGACTACTTCCTTCCATTTATACCTTCTTTCACCTCACCCCAACCCCCCTGCACCGCTGTTCTGGCCTAACTCAGAGGTTCCTCCTTCTACCATACTTTTCGGGGGCAGTCCAGGTCTTGTCCTCTGCCCTTTTCCATTCTAGTGCACACACACTATCATCTCAGGAAGCTGGCATGGAGCCAGCATCTGAGAGGGCAAGAGGATGGATGAAGGAATGTAGCAGTGGATGAGTGAATGAATGATGCTGAGGTGGGAGGGGACAGCAATGAGTGAGGGTGAGGGTAAGGGATAGAGAGCTAGCAGCAAAGGGAAGGGTGAATATCCACTCTTAATGTCTGTCCTCTCCTGCCCAGGAGATCACTGAGCTTCCTGATTACAACAAGATCTCCTTTAAGGAGCAGGCACCTGTGCCTCTGGAGGAGGTGCTGCCAGATGCCTCGCCTCAGGCCTTGGACCTGCTGGGTCAGTTCCTCCTCTACCCTCCTCGCCAGCGCATTGCAGCATCCCAGGTAAGGTGAGAAACCATGGTCTCTGCTTTCTCTGCTCCCTTACCATTGCCCTGATACTCTGCACTTGGCAGCCACATGACCTCATCAAGTCAGCAACCCTCAGAACCTGTGATGGGCAGGGACCAGAACCAGATATCTGGGATGTCTATGTTGTTCCCAGAACCCAGGGGGTAGAAGCCTCAGAGTAAGTGTGCCTCTTGTGAGCAGACGCCTGTGGACATCCCCAGCATTCCCCAAGGGGCTCAGGGTGGCTGTTGGAAGATCATGTTCACCTTACAGGAGAGCACTTATCTAGGTGTGCTACTTCTGGGCTGCCTCAGAGCATATGGCAAATACAGCAAGAGTTACTGGGGAATCATTCTTTCAGTCCTGTAGTATTTATTGAACATGTGACCCATGCCAGACATCATTCGGGGGCCTGGCACAGGTAGTAAACAAGTTTTCTGTCCTCCATGATGAAGTAGCTCCAGGCCAAAAGGTTATAAGAGGGTGTGCTGTTAGGCTGTGGGGGCTCCAGGAGGGAGGGCTGGGCTGAATTTGCGGTTAAGCAAGGCTTTTTGGCAGAGAGTAAATTTAAGCATTAGGATGTTTTGAGGCAGTGTCTGCTAAGCAGAGAAATGGAGAGCAGAGGCCTAGAAGGGAGGACTCAGATTGTGGCTGGAAGACCCTCAAGGATGATGAACACCACAGGAGCCATGGGCTGATGAGTATCAAGGCCTCATTATTCAGAATATCTGTCCCCTCCCTGCACTCAACACCAGCAGTGTGTGTTTGTGCATACCATTTCAGTCCCCACTGTCAGCAGTCCCTGTGGGTTCTGCCTCCATGGTACATCCAGGGCTTCCAACCACTGCTATCCTAGATTGCCTTCCAGAATCTGTGTCTCCCTGCATCCCATTTACAGTGGAACCTCTGTAAGTTGACTACCCCATGGACTGTAAAAACTGGTCAACATATGTAGGTGGTCAACATAAGGATCTCTCATTGAGTACATGTGGTGCATGTCCAGTCTATGAAAATTAGGTCAACTTTTATTATTCTTATTTTTTAATAACAATAACAATGTTTAAGATAAGGACTGGAAACAAAAACTTTGTAAAGAACAAATGAAGACAAGTACATTCAGAAAAGAAATCAGATGATTGCTGCAACGACATTGAGCAAAATAATAATAATAATGCAAAAAAAGTAACATTCACATTGTCAGATAAAAGTATGTCTCATAGAATGCTTTGACTCTGAGGTTCAGTATGGAGTCATCAGTTAACTTCTTTTTTTTCCAAAGTCTCAAAAAATAGACAACTAATATTTATAAATAAAAATAGAAGATAATTTCAAAAAGCATGTCATGCCAAATCTTATAGATAATAGAAAAAGAAGAAATACTTCAGACAAAATCGTTCTACTTCATCTAGATATGCCTGATATTAAAACTGGAAAAAATATATTATAAAGGGAAATTACAAACACATTTCACTTATAAGTGAGGATGCAGTATCCTAAACAACATATTAACAAGTTGAATTAAAAATTATTCAAATAATGTACTTTGGTCAAAATTAAATGCAATTTATGTGATAATTAGTCACTTTTTTTTTTCCTTTTTTTTTCTTTTCCTTTCCCTCACCCCCTCCCTCCTTTTCTCTCTGTCTGCTCTCCCCTTCCCCCACCCCACCATGTCATTAATTGTGATTAATTGTCCTCATATCAAAGTTGAATACATAGGATTCATGCTGCTCCATTCTTGTGATGCTTCACTAAGAATAATGTGTTCCACCTCCATCCAGGTTAATACAAAGGCTGTAAAATCTCCATTTTTTTAAATGGCTGAATAGTGTTCTATGGTATACATATACCACAGGTTGCCAATACATTCCTGAGTTGAGGGGCATTTAGGCTGTTTATACATTTTAGTGATTGTAAATTAAGCTGCGATAAACAGTCTAGTACAAGTGTCTTTATAATAAAACATTCTTTTTTCCTTCTGGATAGATGCTCAGTAATGGGATTGCAGGATCAAATGGGAGGTCTAGGTTGAGTTCTTTGAGGTTTCTCCATACTTCCTTCCAAAAAGGTTGTATTAGTTTGCAGTCCCACCAGCAGTATAAAAGTGTTCCCCTCTCTCCACATCCACACCAGCATCTTCAGTTTTGAGTTTTTTTGATGTGGGCCATTCTCGCTGGGGTTAGATGGTATCTCAGGGTGGTTTTGATTTGCATTTTTCTAATAATAGGGTGATGAGCATTTTTTCAAATGTTTGTTAGCCATTCGTTTGTCTTCTTTAGAGAAGGTTCTACTCATCTCTTTTCTCCATTGATGTATGGGACTGTTGGCTTTTTTCATGTGGATTAATTTAAGTGGTCTGTGGATCCTATTTATTAAGCTTTTGTCTGATTCAAAATATGCAAATATCCTTTCCTGTTGTGTAGGTTGTCTGTTTGCTTTGGTTGTTATCTCCTTAGCTGTACAGAAGCTTTTCAGTTTAATTAAGTCCCAGTTGTTTATTTTTGTTGTTGTTGTAATTGTCATGGCATTCTTCTTCATGAAGTGTTTCCCCAGGCCGATATCTTCCAGTGTTTTCCCTATGCTTTCTTTGAGGATTTTTATTGTTTCATGCCTTAAATTTAAGTCCTTTATCCATCTTGAATCAATTTTTGTGAGTGGAGAAAGGTGTGGGTCTGGTTTCAGTCTTTTACATGTGGATATCCAGTTCTCCCAGTACCATTTATTGAATAGGGAGTCTATCCCCCAGTATATATTCTTGTTTGGTTTATCAAAGATTAAGTGGTTGTAAGATGTTAGTTTCATTTCCTGGTTTTCTATTTAATACCAAATGTCTGTCTCTATTTTTGTGGCAGTACCATGCTGTCTTGACCACTATGGCTTTGTAGAACAGCCTAAAATCTGGTATGCTGATGCCCCTGGCTTTGTTTTTACTACTAAGAATTGCCTTAGCTATACGGATTTTTTTTCTGGTTCCATACAAAATGCAGAATCATTTTCTCCACGTCTTGAAAATAGGATGTTGGTATTTTAATAGGAATGGCGTTGAATTGGTAGATTGCTCTGGGAAGTATAGACCAGGGCATTTTTTTGTTGGGAGACTTTTTCTTGTTTCTTTGATCTCAGTGCTTGAAATTGGTCTGTTCAGGAGATCTATTTTATTCGGGCTAAGCCTAGGGAGAGGGTGTGATTCCAAATATTGATCCACTTCCTTCACATTGTCAAATTTCTAGGTATAAAGTTTCTGGTAGTATTCGGAGATAATCTCTTGTATGTCTGTGGCATCAGTTATTATTTCCCTGAGGTTACTAGAGATTTTACTTTTTTATTTCTAGTTAGTCTGGCCAAAGGTTTATCTATTTTATTTATTTTTTAAAAAAACCAACTCCTTGTTTCATTAATTTTTTGAATGATTCTTTGTTTTCAATTTCATTAATCTCTGATTTAATTTTAGATATTTCTTTTCTTCTGCTGGGTTTATACTTAGATTGATTGTTCTTCTTTTTCCAATTCCATAAGATGACTTCTGAGTTTGTTGATATGCTCTCTTTTTGTTTTTCAAATGTAGACTTCTAAAGCAATAAATTTTCCTCTCAGGACTCCTTTTGCTATATCCCACAGGTTTGGGTAGCTTGTGTTTTTATTGTTGTTACACTCAAGGAAGTTAATGATTTCCTTTTTTATTTTTTCTGCACACAACTGTCATTCAACATAAGGTTGTTTAACTTCCATGCCTTTGTGTGAGGTTTTTGTTGGAGTTGAGTTCTACTTTTAGTGCCTTGTGGTCTGAGAAGATGCAAGGTAGAATTTTAATTCTTTGGATTCTGTTGAGGTTTGTTTTGTGTCCTAGGATATGATCAATTTTGGAGAATGTTCCATGGGATGCTGAGATGATGGAATGTTCCATGGGACGATGGGATGGAGTGTTCTATATATGTCTATGAAGCACAGTTGTTCTAGGGTCTCATTTAAATCTCTTATATCTTCATTTAATTTCTGTTTAGACGATCTGTCCAGCTCTGAGAGAGGGGTGTTAAAATCCTCTGTTATCATAGTGTTACAGGATATCATATTGCTCAGACTAAGTAAGATCTGTTTCAAAATCTGGGAGCATTTAAGTTGGGTGCATAAATATTTAAAATTGAAATGTCTTCTTGTTGTATTTTTCCCTAGACCAATATGAAGTGATCATCATTGTCTTTTTTGATTTTAGTTGCTTTAAATCCACATGTATCTGAAAATAAGATTGCAACCCCTCTTTTCTTCTGAATTCCGTTTGCCTGAAAAATTGTCTTCCAACCCTTAACTCTGAGTTTAGTTGTGTTTTGATGTGTGAGTTGTGTTTCCTGCAGACAGCAAATGGATGGCTTGTGTTTTTTAATTTAATCAGCCAATCTATGCCTCTTTAGTGGGAAATTCAAGCCGTTGACATTTATTGAGATAATTGATAAGTGTGGTAGTGTTCTATTCATCTTATTTTGTGAAAGTCAGTTGCTTAATTTTGTCTTTTGCATCATTGTGGAAGCTAGGTTCTGTCCTTTAATTTCTGGGTGTTTACTTCGCTGAAGGTCTGTTGTGATCCTCAGTGTGTATAACAGGTTGAAGTATTTCCTCTAAAGCTGGTCTTTTGTGGCAAATTTCCTCAATGTTTGCATCTCAATAAAAGATTTGATTTCTCCATCAGTCTTAAAGCTTAGCTTAGCAGGATATAGAATTCTGGGCTGGAAGTTGTTCTGTTTAAGTAGATTAAAGGTAGATGACCATTGTCTTCTGGCTTGAAAGTTTCATTAGTCCGTGGTAACTCTCTTGGATTTGCCCCTGTAGGTCATTTGGTGCTTACTCCTGGCAACTTGCAAAAGCTTTTCTTTTGTCTTGACTTTAGATAGGTTCATCATGATGTGTCTTGGAGAAGCTCTATTTGAGTTGAGGTGACCAGGGGACTCGTATCCCTCTGAAAGGAGGATGTCAGAATCTTTGGTGATATTTGGGAAATTTTCATTTATAATATTCTCTAGTATGGCTTCCATTCCTCTGGGGCATTTTTCTTCCCATTCTGGGGTACCTATAACTCATATGTTTGAACACTTTATAACGTCCCATAATTTTGTCAGTGAATGTTCTGCTTTATCTGTCATTTTTTCTGCCTCTTTAACTATCTGAGTTATCTCAAGAGCTTTATCCTCTCCCTCTGAGATTGTTTTTTCTGCATGGTCTAATCTGTTGTTGATACTTTCTATTGCATCTTTAAGTTCCCTAATTGACTGCTTCAGTTCCTTCAGCTCTGCTATATCCTTTCTATATTCTTCATATCATTCATCTCTTATTTAGTTTGTTTGATTTGATTCTTATTTGATTCTTATTTGATTCTGTTTTTGGATTTCCTTTTGGTTATTTTCCACTTTATCAGCAGTTACTTTCATTGTTTTTTGGTTGTTTTCCACTTTCTCAGTAATTTCCTTCATTGTTTTCATCATCTGTATTTTAAATCCCCTTCTGTCATTTCTAACATTTCTTTATAGGTGGAATCCTCTGCTATAGCTAACTCATGGTTCCTTAAAGAGGTTGCTCTGGACTAGTATTTTCTGACGATTCTTATTCATGAGTGTTTTCTTATATCTGTTTCTTTGCCCTAATTTTCCTTTCACTTCCTTTTGCTCTTTAAGTTACTGTGCCTCTGGCCTAAGGTTTTAATGAGTCTTTTTGGTATGGAACCAGAAGAGAAAAAAGATTTTAAAAAGAAAGAAAAAAGAAGAGAAAAAAAGAGAAAGAAGAGGGGGGTGAATGAAAGGAAATGTTGACAAAAAGAAGAGAAGCACTGAAAGAAGTAGATAGGATTAATATAGGTGTATAGGAGGGGGTTTTAAACGCAAAGTTAAAAATCCCCAACCTCTGAGGGTGCTGGGTTTGGTGGTTCCCTTGAGGCCAGCAGCTCTTTGCCAGCCTGATCAGACTCAGTACCCCACCTCCACCAGGTAAGGAGGAAAAAAAAATACTATAAATCAAACCAAAGCAACCAAACAAAAACCCTTACAGGATAAAATTATGGGAAAAAAACAAATAATAGGGGCAGAAACACTAGCAAAAATGAAGTTCTAATTGTTAAAGAAGGCAAAAATGAAAGATTTTATTTAAACTAGAATAGTGAAGTAGCAGAGAAAAGAAGAAAAAAAGGAAAGAAAAGGAAAAATATAGAGGAAAAATGTTGAAATTAAGAAGAAAAGAAAAAAAAAGAAAAAAGACCAAAAAAACAAAAACCAAAAAAACAAAACAGTATATATATCTTGCTGAATATTGTCTGAGCAACAGGTGATGTTCTGAGGTACGAGATGTTAGTCAGAATGTTAATTCAGCTGTATGAGATGGAGACTAGAGGTCTCTGCTGATTTCTCAAACCCCACAGGCTTGGGAGCCCAAATGTCTCTTCAGCCCGCTTAAAAGACACTCCAAACTGTGTTTTTTGCAGTTTTTTTTTTTTTTGGCCAGGGCCAAGTTTGAACCCACCATGTCCAGCATATGGGGCCAGTGTGTTACTCCTTTGAACCACAGGCGCCACTCAACACTCAAAACTGTGAACCTTGGCTAAGCTGACGCTTTCCGAGGAAAGCACTTATCTCTGGGATCTTTCCTGGAGTTGCTGTGTGCTTATCCAGTGTGCCAAAACCGGTCTCACTCTATGCCCCTGAGGACTAAGGCTGTAATCTGCCAAACGCTTAGATCTCCGTTCTTCCCCAGCATCTCAGTCCCTGCCTTTGGGCAGCTCAATCACTAGATTACTCACCCAAGGTCTCCCAGCCGATGCCCACACTGTGACCTGCAGGGGCAGCTCCCCCCCAGTGGCTGTGTGGGCAGCCCCCACAGCTGAACGATATTAGCTCTTTTCTGGGTCAGCAGCCCAGCCCAGGGCCCCAGATAACAACCAAAGTTGTCTACACACCTGCCCAAGATCTCCCAAGGCAGTTCAGTTGAGTGCCCAAGTCCAAAAAAACCAAAACAGCCCACAGGTAAGGCTTTTCCTGCTTGCAGTATTGCTGTTGCTATGGTTACAGCTGAGGGCAGCCTCTGATGGAACAAATGCACCTACCACTTTACAGTTCTCCACCACTTTTGTCCTCCTCATGGGGTCCAGAAGTCTCTCACTGACTCCCTGTGTCACCAAAGGGAAGTTTCTGGGCAGATCCCACCAGCCAGAGGTGCCTGGAGTCTTATCTCCCCAATGTCACTGTGCCCAGTTGCACAGAAGCTGTTACTCGGCCACCATCTTGCTCTGGAATCATATAGGTCCACAAGAGAAGAAGGATGTCCAGAAGGGCCATGAAGAAGTCCAGAGATAGCAGGGTACTCAACCAGCAGAAGAGAGCAAGAGCAAAATTAGGTCAACTTCAGGAGGTAGTCAATGTAGGTAGATAGTCAACTCAGAAGATTCTACTGTTAATTTCTTCTCCACCTGGCAAAGAGAGAAAGCTTGTCCCAATAGAGCCGAACACACCCCTTCTCTGCCCCAGCTTTCCTTGCCTCTGTCTCACTTAGAAGAAAAGCCAGGGTCTTTCCTATGGCCCACAGGTGTTACACTCTCATATACCATCATTTTTTGGCCCTACTTGCTCTTCCCCTGTACTGAGTCTTCTTCAGCCCCAGAGCCTCCTGCATATTCTAGAATACACCAGGATACCCCTTGGCTTCTATGCACTTCTTTCCCTGCCCTAGAGCCTCATGTGCTGCTCATCCACTTCTCTCAGGTCTTTGCTCGAGTGTCACTTTTCAAGTGGCCCTTTTTCTTTTTTGGTTGCAGCCATCATTGTTGTTTGGCGGGTCCGGGCTGGGGATTCGAACCCGCCACCTTAGGTGTAGGTGGCTGGCGCCTTAGCCGGTTGAGCTATAGGCGCCGAGCCAAGTGGCCTTTTTTCACCACTCTTCAAATCTGCAATCTCATTGGCATTTTTCATTCCCTGTCTTGCTTTCTCTTTTCCACAGAGTGCTGACTGTGTCATTATTTGACCATTGTATATTTACTTCACCTTGTTTATTGTTTCTCACCTTCACTGGTGTTGAAAAGGCAGGGGTTTGTCTGTTTTTTAAACCACTGAGTCCCCAACCTTTAGAACAGCACCTAAGACATAGTAGATGTGCAGAAAAGTTTTGCCAAGTCAGCTGAACAAATGAGAAGCTGAAGGAATGAGTCTGACAGTTGCCTTTGGTCTGAGCCTGAGGTCAGGGAGGTGACTGATTTCTTTCTGCTGTTCTTTACTTGCCACCTCCAGGCCCTCTTGCATCAGTACTTCTTCACAGCTCCTTTGCCTGCCCACCCATCTGAGCTGCCGATTCCTCAACGCCCAGGGGGACTGGCCCCCAAGGCCCACCCAGGACCCCCCCACGTCCATGACTTCCATGTGGATCAGCCTCTTGAGGAGTCACTGTTGAACCCGGAGTTGATTCGGCCCTTTATTCCAGAGGGGTAAGACACTCACCCTGGTCCTGTCTGCCAACTCCTCAGGATCACCTAGGCAGCTTGTTCTTCTGCCACCTACTTGATTCAGCCCTCCAGTGCCTCTCCATGGCCACATTGGGCATACTTTGTACCTCATCCTGCTCCATAGCCATCCTGAGGGCTGATCTCAAGAATGCAGTAGTCAACCTACCAGCCAAGGTGATGAGGACATCCAGAGCAGTGGAAGAGACCCATGGCCTATGTTCAGGGAGCCTCAAGTCTGTGTGCTACTGACTTAACCATCAGAAACTGAGCTCTGCTGCCATTCAAGGCCTGCCCACATAGAATGTCAATTCCTGCCTTGGTGTTGGCCTTCCAGGTGCTGCCTCCAGGCCAGAGACATTCTTGTTAGAACCAGTTCAGGGAATATGATGTCCTCATGTTCAAAACTCAGGTGGGATGGAAGGTTTGGTTTGGTTTTATTCTAAAAGACACTGAATATTCTAGTTTAGAATTTGAGATTTACTATGTAAACCCCAAGTGGTTCTGCCTTATGTCTGCTCCTTTCTCATTCCTATCAAGGAGAACAGCAGAGATGGTATCATTTCATTGCTCTCATTGGGGGTGGGGGGAGTCATAGTCACTTTTGCCCTGAGGTCTGCATGTATGCTAATGTGATTCATTTGGAAGTGAAGTGGGCAGAAGTGGGGGCCCAAAAATGGCTCCTGCTGGAGATTCAGCAGGAGACCCTCTGCACAGTAGGCTGATTTGCTTCATCTACTCAGGGTGAGGGTGAACAGAAGCAGCTATGTAAATAAGGGAGCAGGCACTCATGGAATTAATTTATTATTTCAATAAATTCTAATATTATCCCAGCCAGTTTTTTCCTTATCTTATTATAAATTTGATAAAATGATTCTTACGAGTATGTGGAAATGCAAAGGGCAAAAAGAGGGAAGCAGAACCAGAAGCAGAAATAATGGAAAGACTTACTATATTAGGTATCAGAACTTAATGTTATACAATAATTAAGACAGTGTCGTATTAGTCTAGGGATAGGTAAAAACAGTCTAGAGAAACTTATTCTTAGCAGTCCTTTATTGTTAAAATTCCTGCTTCATGTGGATAAACTCTCTGGGTACTGAGTGTACAGAGGTAATTAACACTACTACAGCCACTGGCCTCACAGCACATGGTGGGCTGACAAAACACAGTAAACCCTAATTTTTGCTTTCAGGAGAGTTTGATGTTTTCATGCGCTTGCCTGTTTATTTCTTCAGCCACATCTGCAGACTCTGAGCTCTAGTCAAACCTAGTTAATTTCTGCTGGCTTTCACCTCCACATAAATGGGAGCTTGTACCTAGACTTGATGTATTTGAAAACAGTTTTAATAAGATAGGGTCAACTGATGAAAAGCTCACTTGGTATATCAATTGATGCCTTAAATTATTTCTACAAAAACTTACAGTGTACATTGTATAACGACAGCCAGGCACATGAGAAGGTAAGAAAATGGACAGCACAAACAACAGAAAACAGACTATAGGTATCACAGATAGTGGATGCACCAGATACAGATTTGGTAAGAACTACACTCTGGGCTGGGCCTGGTGGCTCATCCCTATAATCCTAGCACTTTGGGAGGCTGAGGCAGGAGGATCACTAGAGCTCAGGAGTTGAAGACCAGCCTGAACAATACAGCTGGGTGTATGCCAGCATAAGAGGTGGGGGAGTGGAGTGTGGGAGCAAGGTGTTACTCCTGGAGAAGCAGGACCCCTCAACTATTTAACTGAGCCCAGCAAGGCCAGGAGGGGCTGGCCCTGTGGGTGGAAGGGCAACGGTGGTGGTATTGGCCCTACCAGATCGAAGTGAGGCATGGTGATGGTGAGGTGGAGCCACAACTGGGTCCACACAAACTGCTATATATCTTTCATAGAGGACCAAGACCTGCCCTCTGCCACACAGGTGAACAAGGTAACAGTCTCTGGCAATGGTAGGGCCAGTCCAAAGCCAGGTGCTTCTACCCTGGGACTTTAGTTTGCCCATCTGTGAGGCTCTGAACCCATAGTGTTGCTAAGTATGCTGATGTGCCCAATGGTGATGACTTTGGCAGCTTCTGGAGGTCCAGATCTCTTGTGCTGGTCTCTTGTGAACAAGGTGAGATGCACTTCCCTTGCCATCAGGGTTCGCCCCTCAGATTGGCTTAGGGATCATTTTTCTTTCTGCTCCAGCCTTTTGGAATATTCTGGAACTTCCTTCCTTGAGGCTTTTTGCTTTTCTTGAACCTGGAAAGCTGCGCTCCATTTCTTCCCATGATGGTTCCTCAATCCTGCCATCTCAGGTGTCTTCACCATCAGTCACTTGTGTTCTCTCCATCTTTTTTTCCTTCATGGCTGTGCTCATGAAATACCTGAGTGAATTAATCTGGTCTTCCCTCTACTGTACTGCCATCCACGTGTTACAGGTACACAGTACTTTTTCTTCCAAGGACACAGCACCACTGTAATTAAATGACTGTTATATATTTGTTTCTTTTTTTCTTTTTTTTTAAAATTAAATCATAGCTGTGTACATTAATGCAGTCATGAGGTACAGTGTGCTGGTTCTATATACAATCTGAAATATTTTCATCAAACTGGTTAACATAGTCTTCAAGTCATTTTCTTAGTTATTGTGTTAAGACATTTATATTCTACATTTAGAAAGATTCACATGTACCCTGGTTAAGATGAACCATAGGTGTGGTCCCACCAATCACCTTCCCTCCACCCATCCTCCCCTCTCTTTTCCACTCCTTCTCCCCTTTCCCCATATTCTTGGGCTATAATTGGGTTATAACTTTCATGTAAGTTAGTTTCATAGTAAGGCTGAGTACATTGGATACTTTTTCTTCCATTATGACTGTAATATATTTGTTTAATGCTATATGTATTTTTACCACCTAGACTTGTTCCTAAGAGAGTTATTTTTGTCTTTTCTATTACTCTGGAACCCAGCATATGCCTTGATATTTAGTGTCTCTTTAGTAAATATTAGTTGAGTAAATGAATTTTTGAAGGAACTTAAAATACATTATTAATTCATTTTATAGAAATAATAAACAGATCCTGACTGGAATATTGTGATCATAATTTTAAATGTATTGAGCAAAATACTGGGTTTTCATCCCCATCTTTATGATAAAGAAACTGAGTTATCATCCAGTGATTTGTCTAGTGTCATGCCTGGTGCTGGAATTAGATCCCTGACTGTGTTCATAGTAGTAGGCTAGAGGTAATTTAGGGGTAAAGTTTGGCAGGGAGGTGCCTTATATCCTTTCATATCACCAACTTCTTTGGATTGTAACTTTCCCAAAGGTAAAATGAGATCAATAATTCTTTCTCATGGTGTCATTGTGAAGGCTAGGACCCCACATAAGGCTCTTAAAAGGCGGGTCGCATTTATTTTGTAGAGTATCTTATATTTTATAATTCCTTATTTGTGATATAAAATTACAGTTGGGTTTTGAACTAGGAACTACAGAAAATTCACAGGTCTTTTTGCCTGATTTGATTTTGTACACTACAAACTTTACATTCCTATTAGCCAAAAAGACTTCTTTTTTAATATTTATTTTATTAAATCATAACTGTGTACATTAATATATTTATGGGGTACAATGTGCTGATTTTATATAGGATTTGGAATGCTTACATCAAAATGGTTAACATAGCCTTCACCTTACTTACTATTTGTTGTGTAAAGACATTTATACTCTTAATAGTTTTGACATGCACCCTTGCATTGTGCACAATAGGTGAGTTCCCAACAAATACTCTCCCTCCTCCAAACCTCCTCCCTCCTCTCCCCTCTCCTGCCTCATCTCTACTTCATCCTGGAATATTAGTTGTGTTTTATCATTCATATGAAAGTATGGGTGATTATATATTGGTTTCATAATAGCATTGAGTACATTGGATAATTTTTCTTCCATTCTTGAGATACTTTTCTAAGAAGAATATGTTCCAGCTCCATCCAAGTGAACATAAAAGATGTTAAGTCTCCATCTTTTTTTAAAGCTGCATAATATTCCATGGTATACATACACCACAATTTGTTAATGCATTCATGAGTTCATGGGCACTTGGGCTGTTTCCATGACTTGGCTATTATGAATTGGGCTGTAATAAACATTCTTGGGCAACTATCTTTGTTGTAAAACTATTTTTGGTCTTCTGGATATATACCTAGTAGAGGAATTGCAGTATTGAATGGCAACTCAATGGCAACTTTTAGTTCCCTAAATGTTCTCCAAAGTTCTTTCCAAAGAGGATGGATTAGCTCGCATTCCATGAAGCACAGAGGATTTGTAGGGCAATGGAACTAGCTCATATTATACTGTAATAGTAGATACATGTCATTATACATTTGCCAAAACCCATAGATTGTACAACACCAAGAGTGAGCCCTAAACTATGAAATTTGGGGTGGTAATGAGGTATTGATGAAAGTTCAGTGATTATGACAAATGTACAACTTTGGTTCAGGATTTTTTTTTTTTTTTTTTTTTGCAGTTTTTGGCTGGGGCTGGGTTTGAACCTGCCACCTCTGGCATATGGGGCTGGTGCTCTACTCCCTTTGTTAATGGTGGGGAAGGCTGTGTGTGTAGAGGGATCCAGGGGATAAATTCTACACTCAATTTTCTACTCAATTTTGTGATTATAAAACTGCTCTAAAAAAGCCTGTTCCTTTTTTAAAAATGTTTAAAATAGAATGGAAAGCAATATTTCCTAATTCATTTACAAGGTCAGTATTATTACCCTTAAAAGATCTTATAGGAAAATGACTAGTATCTCTCATGAAAATAGACATATTCCAATGTGTATTTATACCACATTTTTTAATTCATTCATCTGCTGATGAACACTTAGGCTGATTCTATATCTTTGCTATTGTGTATAGTGCTACAATAAGCATGCAAGTGTAGATATCTATTTGATGTGTTAATTTATTTTCTTTCATGTAGGAACAATTTTTTTAATAAAATCATAAATTCCGGAATATTTAAAAACAATAATATATCAAAACCAAGTGAAGGCTTCCCTAGTAATGCAAGGCTATTTCAATAGTCAGAAATCATTTATGTCATCCACTACACATATATTAACAAATTAAAGGACATGAAGAGGCATTTCTCAAAAGTAGATATACAAATGGCCAACAGGTATATGAAAAAATGCTCAACATGACTAACCATCAGAGAAATGCAAATCAAAACCACACTGAGATATCATCTTACTCTCGTCAGAATGGCTATTAGTAAAAAGACCAAAAATGATGTTAGTAAGGATGTGGAGAAAGGGGAACTCTTATATGATGATAGGAATGTAAACTAGCAAAGCCACAATTGAAAACAGAGTAAGGAGCATTCTCAAAAAACTAAAAACAGAACTACCATTCAGTCCATTAATCCCAGTACTAATATCTACTCAAAGGAAAATAAATCCATATGTCAAATGAATACCTGCACTTCCATGCTTATTGAAGTGCTTTTCACAATAGGAAAGATAAAGAATCAACCTAAGGGTCCATCAATGGATGAATGGATGAAGGAAATGTGATATATATACACAGTGGAATACTATTTAGCCATAAAAAGAATGAAATCATGTCATTTGTGGCAATACAGATGGATCTGGAGGTCATTCTATTCAGTGAAATAAGCCAGGCACAAAAAGACAAATAATGCAAGTTCTCATTTATATCTGGAAGCTAAACAATTTGATCACATAGAAGAGAGTGTAAAGATAGATATTAAAGACTAATAAGGGTGGAGAGTAGAAGAGGAAGGATGAAGACAAGTGGGTTAAAGGATATAAACATACAGTT